AATAATGGAAGCTACAAGTTGTCTCTCCTTTTCGCAGCGTGCACTCCCATCCTTGCACGGCGAAGATAAGCCTCACTCTGCAAATTAAAATTTAAATCTCTCCAGTGCTAAAAGAATTATCTCAGTGGTACATCAGCCTAGCCTGTCTCCCTCCAAATAAAGTTCTCCAAGGCCTTTTGTGGCAAAAACTAGGAATATTTTTTTTTCCATGTCTATAATATAGTGCTGGTGAGGTGATGCCCTGCTCCAGACTAGGGACCATCCCTGCCCCGGGGCAGGGTCCCCGAATGTACATGCAGCCAGCAGTCACGGGCATATAATTAGTCCATATTTTTAGTTCCTGGGTAATTCTCAACGGTAGCTGGGTCTATTAAACTTGATTCAGATGTGACAGCTTAAATGGTAAACAGCTGTGAGGAGTTTCATACTTAATTACCATATTTAAGTTTTTGCCATAAAGCGTTTGCACTTCCATCAAAGATGTAAATAGCTCCAACATTCAAATGAGCTCTCCTCTTTGCGAGGCTTAATTGGCACCGAAGGGTTTGTGGGGTCTCCTCGCCCCTCCCGCACAGGCCTGGCTTTTGGGGGATGCCAGTGCTCTGTTCGGACCCCCCCATCTCCATCTTCCCTTGGCTACCAGGGGCTGGGGGTTACGGACCTGGATCTGTTTAGTTTGCAACTTCTGCAGACGGTCTCAGCCTCGAGGCTCCTGCGAAGCGCCAGCCTTGCAGAGCTGCTCGTTATCTCTGCACTTAAACTGCTCGTGAGCGCTGCCGTTTCCTAATGAAACTGGCATTTATGTCACTATTTATACATCTCCAGCAGCTCGGGCTATTTAAGGTGGTGGGTTTTAATGCTGCTCAAGCTCTCGGCTTGGGGAGGAGCAGAGGGACTGAAGGGGAAAGGTGTCCCTGCTGCTGCTGCAGCCCTGGCTGGTGCCAAACACTCATGCTGATGGTGTGAGCCAGCGAGACCCCAGCTCAGCCTGGGAAAGCCAGGGGGAGACCCTGGGGTCTCTCCTCTCCTGCCCCTAAGATTGCTTCCCATTGGAGAGCTGCAAATCCATGGCGTCGTACCCCGCTGCCTGTTGCTCTCGGAGCATCCTCGTGCATGCAGTCGTGCGTGCTGCTGGGGAGGGATGGAATACAGTTCTGTGCATCCCTCCCTGGCACTGGTGTGGCCAATAGCTGCGTGGTCCAGGGCTCACCCCGGGCACCGATTCCCTTTGAGATGTTGGTGGTTCGGTGGGTGATGCTCTGCGGCGGGTGCAGCAGAGCCCGGCCCTGGAGCAGGGAGCCACATCCCTCAGGGAGCAGCAAGGATGAGCTCAGGGCAATGCAGCACTTCGGTGTGGGGTGCAGGAAGAGCTGTGCATGCCCCACGGTCAGGAGCAGCTCTTCTCTCCCCATCCATCAGCACGATGGCTGTGACAGCCGTGTCCCTGCCTCCTCCGTCTTCCCACTGCACCTAAAGACGTGTCTACAACGAGCTGCGTGTCCTACACAGAGCAAGTCTCTGCTTCTATCAATATTTGATACCGCTCCTCAGCCAGGCAGGGAATGCGCAGAGCAGAGAACTGCTTGGATCCAGCTTAACATGAATCTGCAAAGCTAAACCTCCAAATAATTTAAATCTACACGAGGACCCGTCAATTAATGTGCTGCCTCACTGCTGTCTTTCCAGGCACAAGCAGTCACCCTCACTGTGGCCCAGGCCTTCAAAATTGCATTTGAGTTCTGGCAAGCAGCTAAGGAAGGTGAGTTTTCTTCCCCTTCTTCCCATTCCTCACCCAAAAGTCCAAGGGATGACTTGGGTTTTCTCCAGCTTTCAAGTGCCTTTTCCCCTCACCCTCCAAATTTCCAGGCTGCTGTTAAGGTTGGTCCAACCTCCGGTGTGATTTAAGGCACCTTCCCGGTTTCTCCTGACAGCATTGTAAATCCAGCCCGATTTTGGCTGTGCTCCTCTCTCGCAGGCGGGGTGCGGAGCACCTGGGGCTCGTCTGCGGTACCTCAGAGCCCTGCGCTGCTGGAATTTTTGCTTTCACCTTCCCTGAGGTTATAAAATGCAGCCAGAGCCTGGGCTGCTGTGGGCAGAGGAGACCTGGGGGTCCATTCTCGCTGTTTCCCCGTCCCTCTGCCTTAAAAGCTTGCAGGGAAGTGCTCTGCAAGCAGTGACTCGGTCTGCTTCTTTTGCAGAGAAGGAGAAGCGGGAAAGGTCCATCTTGGAAGGAGAAGGGACGAGCAGCCCCTGCTCAGAAGCCCCTGCCCACCCTGATGCATGTAAGTCACCAGCAGCAGAGCTTTGCTTCGGGCGCAGGGATGGGGAACAGCCTGAGGTCTGGGTTTTTCCCTGACCAGGGCAGCTCCTGGCAGGGCTTTGGAGACCGGCGAGGAGCAAACACCATGGTCATAGCAGAGATGCTGCCCTCGGCAGAACATTTTGGGGTGGAGGACTGCTGAGTCCTCCATCTCCCCCTCTCATGCAGCCCCTCTTTCACAGCTGCTGCCACCCTAAATCTGTTTAATTCTGCCCCAGGCAAATTGGCCATAATGCCTGTGCGAGCTTAGCATGGACCCCCACGTCCCAGGTTCGATTTTGGGTTTGTCTCAGACCCAAAACACTTGGCATCCCATCGGCTGAAGGAGATGGACATCCGCGTGCCACTCCGGCTCCCCTAAGGAAGGAGTGGTGTGTGGAAATAAAACAATTAAATAATAACCCCCCTCTTAATTCAGTGCCTGGGCATGGGTCCTCTGCTCTGAAACGTGAGAGTGTAGCCAGGGAGAAGTGGGACAAAAGGCTAATCTCCCTTCCATGCTGGCCACGGCGATAAGAGGATTTGGCATGGAGGAAAATAGCATTAAACTGGGCTTCCTTCCAGGCTGGCATTTCTCGTTTCTTCATGTGAAGGCCTAGGACTGGAGGAATTTGTCACAAGCGGTGGCACATTGGGATGAATGAGGCCTGTGCCTGCCACGGGTGTAGGAATGGGCTCCAGGGGATGCTCTGCAGCTGGAGTCCTTCTGCACCCGACCTTAAAGCAGGATTTGAGGATCCCCTGAAACAAGCCAGCCTGCAGTGTACCGGCAGCCCCCAAGCTATGAACTTCCCTTCACCCAGCGTGGGATTTGCCCTCGGCCACATCAGATAACGATGCGTCGTTGTAAGATGCTGAATCGACGCCGTGGGCTGAGCTGAGGCTGTTGCCCAGGGTTTGTTGCCACCCTGGGGCGGGATGTGTCAGCTGTGCCTGGGGCTGATCCTGACTTATCCTGAATGTGGGTACCCAGGAGCCTCCCCTGACGGCAGTTGGAGGGATGAGCCAGCCGATTGTCCTTGTCAGAGGGTCTCGGGTCATCTGAGCATCACTAATTACTCAGAATGAAACCACAGCTCCCGCTGGGGTGAGAGCGGCTCCTCCGTGCTAAATTTTGTGGCCATCCGGAAGGAATTTGATGCAACCCCTTTGATTCAAGGGAAAGCGATGACTGCAAAAAGGCTTGGTTTCGTGTCACCTCCGTTTTCCTTTCCCCTGCCTCATTCCCTCTACGCTCCATTTGCAGCAGCAGCCACGGGGAACTTACTGGATTTAGAAGATCCCACCAAATCACCCCTGACCAGCAGCGCCAACTCCCCACACTTGGATAACAGTGTGTTTGGGCCCAGCTCCTCCGTAAATAACAACGTGGTGTGGGTAAGTATGTGCCCGGGGCACCGCAGCGTGTGCTGAGCCGGGGGTGGGGAGTGATGCCACTTCCATTGCCTGTGCTCCAGGTCCCATCACGGGGGGCTTTTTCTTGGATACCACCCTCTCCCCCAGGAGCTCTGGGGCACCTGAGCCGTTCACGCAGGGTTTCAGAGGTGTCCTACTCGGAATGATCAATTAGTGTTCGAGTACCATCTGCCCTTTTTAGGCCCTGTAAATAAATGGAGATCGAGGCACTCAGAGAAACGCCGCTGCCAGGTAATTGAATATTACTTACTCTCAAGCCACATTTCCCAGCGGTTTGTCACTTAATTGAGAGACCACCTAACTGCTCTGTTCAGGGGAAAAAGTCATTATGTTGATGGCTTTTGTTTACCGCTCACTAAAACCAGGTTATATTTATGTTCGTTACTACTCTGATTTTCCCCTTGTTCTTGTTCGTGGCTGTAACTGGCTTGTACAAGCATGGATGGCTTATCTAAAATGTCCCCAGTCATCTGGTTTAATTGTTTTGTGGACCGCTAATAGAAAAATAATGACCCTGACCGTGTCCCTAGGGGTGCATCCATTGGGGAATCTTCATTCCCGGAAGGGCTGGGGCTGGTCTTTGAAACCCCGCCTGGTCTGGACCTTTTTCCTTCTCTGGGAGCAGGCTGGCTGCTAAATTTTGGAGAATTGAATGATAAAGGCCTTTGCCTGGAGCCTGTTTCTTCAGTCTGGTCTGAGCCTGAGGCTTTTTATGTTAAACCTGAAGATCAGCTCTAAGCCGTATCGAATCCTGGAGGTTTACCAGCTGCCTCCGATCCCTCCCTTCTTGCAGAGTTTTCGTACTTTACATATTACATTAGGTCTGTAAGCACATCCCAGGGTTTTGAGAAGAGTCAAGTCTGTCCATAGCAAAGCTCTCGCACAGATCCCATCTTCCTGCGTGGGAAACCTTTCTTCCCCCAGCAACTCCAGTGCTTTCCCCAGGAAACCTTAGATCAGAGATAAAGGATGCCAGAGTTGCTTCCAAGCAGCGCAGGTTCTCCCTGTGCTGGTGCAGGGCTGCTTTCCCAGTTCCTCATCCAGAAAAGCCCTGAGGGATGCCTGCAGCATCTTGCTGAGCTCTGTCCTTACTCTTACCAGGAACCCACGGCGTGTGCCAGTCTCGTGGCAGGAGCTGGAAGAGCCGAGGGCTGTGGTTAACCCCGGAGGGGGATGTGGTCCAACTGATGGGTCAGATCCAGCCCGTGCAGGCAGCGAGGCAGAATTTAGCCTGGTTTGGAGACAGTGGACCTGTCCCTGGGCTGCAAGGGGAGCGCAGCATCCCCAGCCCGAGCCTTGGGATTGCTCTGAGGAAGCCTGGACCACCTGGAGTTAGGCCTCTCACCCTGGGGCTTGTGCAGAGAGCGAGATAAAGCCTGCCTGAGGAGGCAGATTGCTGAGAGGAACGTTGCTTTAGGCACTTGGAAGTATATCTTACATATATATATATACATATTTATATATGTGTTTTGTCTGCCATGCTCAAGTGCGGAGCCAAATTTCTAAATACACTTTTGTGCATTCTCTCACCAACTACTTCTCTCTCTTTTTATCTCTTTAACAAAGGAAATGGATGATGGTCTCGACGAGGCATTTTCAAGGTAATTCTAATAACTCCCTTTACAAGTTCATGCCACCGGGGACCAGCCCCGGAGACTTGACTAGTGCCTGGCTTTTAATAATGCTTCTAATCTAATCAGCCACCGTGATCTGACCTAGGCAGCTGCCCCATCAGTGCCTCAGCTGTTAATTGAAAGACAGGCTTTGAGGCTGGCTGATAAGCCAAATATTTTGACAGCCTTTTAAGGATGGAGAGAGGCTGTATGTGATGGGGAATTTAATTCCCCAAGCAGTTAGCGTGTCCACTCCTGCCTGCCGGTGTGGTTTGAGGCTGCCTGTTTCCAGCCCCTGCGCCAGCTGCAGCAAAGCTGGTCCCAGCTTCTGGCCTAGGGAAATTTACCTTTCCTTGCCCCTCCGGGAGGTTTGGACTAACTCTGGGACATCATTCCCATCCATCCGGAACCAACAGCAGCTGCTGAGGGCAGCCCCCCTGCTCCACCACTCCTTGTAGCAGCGCGGGTGCATCAGGGCCACTGATGCTCCGATTTTGAATTCATGCGCTTGAGCACGTTCAGTTTGTGGCTACAGCTTCGTGTGGCTCCACCTGCTTCCCAGCCCAAATTAAGAGCTTCCCTGCACGTGCATGCTGAGCAATCCAGCAATGTTCAGACAAACCCGTTTCCTTTCAGGTTGTCCAGGTCCCTGCGGGGTGATGGGGATGCTTTAGTGGGTCCCGTCCTCCTGGTCAGTGCATGAAGCCACTCGGCTGCCGTAAGAGCTGCGGAGGCCCCAAATGGGGCAAAGAGCTGCCTCAGGTGTGGGTGCTACAGGCAGCAGAGACCTGCCAGGCCTCCTCCTCCGGCTGGGAAGTGTTGGGAGTCGGGCAGCAGCCGGGCTGAGCCCGCCGTCCCCTCTCCGAGAGCCGCGCACCCCCGGGGCTCGCAGCACTGCAGAAATGGCACACTCAGCCCTAAGGAAAGAGACCGTCGCGTCTTGTTTGGCTCCCGGGAATGATTTACAACTTCCACTCCCACGGTAGCCCTGTCCCGAGTCGTGTTTGATAAACGGGCTGCTGGAATTTATGTCTTGCTGCCGTCTGTTTTCCTCACCTCTGTTCCTCGCCCTGCTTAATTAATCAGATGTTGGTTGGGGTGCTGTGTTTTGCCTTGCTGGATGCCGAGCTCTCACATCACCCTCAGCCTTCCGGTGACTCAGTATTTGGACTGCTCATCTGAGGTGGGTGCCTCTGGAAGCGTTCCTGCCACAGCACCGGCGCTGGGCATTTTAATTCTTCATTAAAAACCGTGCGTGCGGCTGGTTTAATCGGACGTTTATTCCGCACTGTGCCTCCCCTGGATGAAAAACCAAATATTTTGAGTCAACCTTTGGCCCTGGGAGGATTGCCGCCGCAGCGTTACGTTTTCACAGAGGCATTTAATAACACAACAACAAACTGGGGCTTGTTGGGTTTCGCGAAGCACCTGGGTTGCGCGGAGATGGAGCCCTCTTACAGCTGATCCTGTGGGCTATTAAACATTGTCCTGCTGTGTCTTAAAACGCACCCTGCGTCTCCGGACCAGGAAAATTGAGTCGTTTGCAGCGAGGCTGCTCTTTCGGTCAGCAGAGCCTTTACGTTGAGATAAGATCCCAGCTGACAACGCAGCCGCCAGCGATCGCTCCGGGGAGGAAAACGGCACCGTTCTGCCAGAGCGTTAATATACGGGATGTCCAGACTGCAAATTCCCTGAATGCCTGTAGGGGAAATGTTAGAATAAACCAGCAGCAAAGCTGCAGCAAACTGGAGAGAGCTGCAAATGTGATGTGCCAGCTCTCCCCTTGCTGAATGATTGCATTCCGTTGGAGGATTTTGAAACATGGAACTGCAGCTAGGGCTCGGCATTACGGATGCATCGAGCATCCAGGCTATAAACTGCACGGGTTTGTGTCCTCACTTTGTGTTTTTCTCCCCTTTCAGACTGGCTCAGTCGAGAACGAACCCTCACGTCCTCGACACGGGACTGACGGCTCAAGACATCCAGAGCGCAGAAACGCTCTCCCCTGTAGACTGGAACAAAATAGATTCCAACGCAGGCGAGAAGGATGATTTGTTCATGTTTTGAGGTCAACAGCCATCAAGAGAATAACCACTAAAAGTCGATGGACCGGATCGCGCTGTTCTGGGTGCTGTACGTGAGGGACTCTTCACCAAGTCAGATGACGTTACAGCACAGTTTAGACCAAAGCTTTAGAGATCTAGTGCAGAGTTTTGTACCGTGCTTTTATCTAAACCATGAGATGCTCTTGAACATATTTATTCATAGCCATTACAGTTTACATATATTATTGGAAGGCGTGTAGAGCATCTACAGTATTAGGTGGCAACATGCCATGGAAGAACCTTCAGCAGTGCCTGTTCCTCTTGGAAAAAAAGACTATGCAACACCAAAGCCTCTCCTTACATACTTTTCTAGACACAAAGGTCTGCAGATGCAAATGCGATCGCAAGCACAACTGTTACTAATCCACTGTTCTTGAACCCATCACCTGCCTGGGCATGGGAGGAGATTCACAGCAGCTGCTCACATTGTTAAAATCAAAGAGGTAGCAGAGATCTTGCTTTTGTTGTGAATGTCTGTGACACTCTCACAGTTGTCAATCGCCCCTACGTGTTCAGGCGGTTTCTCCACCAGCTTCTCATGGGAATTGACACTTTTTTACCCAAAGACTCTACGAAGTTTTGCACTTTAAAACTTGAACTGAAAACAGTGGTCCGAATTGTCAAGGTAAGCAGTGCCTGTAACCTCTCTCCAGAAGCTATTTACCCAAAAAGACACCCAACCCGGCAATGCTGCAGGTCCGTTTCCAAACGGACCCCTCACGTGCACCGTTTCTCATGCGACTCAAAATACCGAAGCTCCGTTGCACTGTTGGCTTTAAAAGCAAAACCACCGGGCAGGAAGAGTTTGTTTCGTTAAGCGTGTTGGAAGTTGCAGGTTGGGTGAACCCAGCAGCACAATAGATCTGTGTTCTCAGCTCTGCTAAGTGGATTTGGCTGTGCATGCCTTTTTACTGTCTCTAAACCATTTGGTTGTTGCTCACTCAATAGATTCAAATGGAATTGGATTAGGCAAGACCAATACCTGGATGTTCAATTAGCAAGAGGTGCCCCTTCCAGCGGTACTCCAATCCTCTCCCGTGAGGCTTGGGAAGCTGTCTTCATCTGCTCCGGGAATTGAAAATAAGTAATGGGGGCATAAAGCTTATGCTAATTAAAAGATTAAGTTTAATGATCCTAAATAGTCACACTGACAGTTTACAGTGTTTGTGGCCTTATGTGAAGTATACTAATCTGTTTTATAGATTTGTAACTTGGTTTTGAAACACTAATTCATTCCCCAGATAGCTCTTTATAACTCTCTTAAAACTGCTTGCAGAAGAAAAAAAAAAAAGAGAAAAACCTCTTTGTCAGCTGCAAGAATTTATTAGGAACCAGCTGAGTGACTCTAACTTAGATTTGATGTTTCTTTTTCCCTAAGTGTTGTTGTGATAAGGACTTGTGAAGCTGACTCATCATGTCTCTTAATAAAACGTGTGCTCTGTTTATCCTGAAAACTTGTATTTAAAGCAATTTTACGTCTTCAACCTCCTGTGCCCGTGACTTACCTGCTCGTCTGCGTATTGTCAGTCTCGCGATGGAAGGAATTACTCAAAATTTGCCCGCGCTACAGAGGGACATGGTAGAGACATGAACCGATCGCAGAAGCAACACCAAAACTGGGCAGAAGTGGTTGTAGCAAGCGCCTTGTCCCAACCCCAGGGAGTGGTGATCTTCCTAGGAAAAAGCTTGGGCTGCAGGAATAGACCATGAGGATTTCTCTGTACATCAATCTTCCTCCTTTCCCAGAGATTCTAGGAGCACATACTCAAATGCACAATACTATATATGTGTGTATATAGGTTTTTTGAAGAAAACCTTCTGCTGTAAAGAATATCTGTACTGAGGAAAATAAAACTTCCACCATTTTTTGGAGTGTCTGTGCTGGGTGAGTTCATTTTTACTACGGACCTTGTAACGTCTAGAAGCCTTTGTGTGTAACTGCTTGAGTTCGCCGTCTCCCTTGATGCACAGCAGCGAGTGACTGGAAACAACCATGGGAGGTTTGTGTTCCTCAGAAGACTCTTTCCAGGGCCATCCAGGTGGGAAGATGGCTACAGTGAGACACTGGCCTGTGGTCCTGCCTTCAGGAAAGCTTATGGGACTGGATGCAGCCTCGCAGGATGCACAGAAGGATGCACAACAGCTGCCTTCCCTCCTGCGCCTGGCTGGGAGCGACCGTTGCAGCCAGCTCAGTGAATCCATCCTTGCCTGAGCCCCTGCATTGCTGGATCGGCCTCCAGGTAACGGTCTTACACTGGATGAGAAGAGGGAGGTTGGTGCTTCGGGCTCATCTGTGGGTAAACGTGGTGCAAAACCCCAAAATCTCTTAATTGATAGAGTTCCTGAGTTGCCGTGCAAAGTGCACAGAGAGCACAGCACTGCCCTGCATACTCATCCTCCCCCTGCAATTCCTGCCTTTGCTGGCTGCGAGCTTGGAGCAAGCAGGCTCCTGCAGCTACCAGCTCCCCACGCTTGCCTGGGAAGCGTACACGGAAATTCATCCGGGGATGCTGACAAGCAGATTTTACCCGTGGGTAGCACCACACTCCCTTTGGGGTATCGGAGCTGGGCTGCGGGCAGGGCAAAGGGACTGCAGAGATGCCTCCCTTCCCGCAGCGTTAGGCTAACCAAAACCAAAGTTCATTTTGCTGGTTAAATTGTCTGCTCCGGTGTGAGGAGATGTCCCAGATTCCGAGTACCGGCAGTCTGCTCCTTCATGCATAACTGATGGCGATGCCGAGGAACAAATTGATCTTTCCGGTTTGATGTGACCTTTTTTTTAAGTGCCTGTTAAGAAACTTTCAGCATCCATTGCCTTCACCCCCAATGCCTTGGCCCAGCCTTGCTGGGACACGGGGCATGGGCTTGCTCAAGCGGAGCGCGGCAAACGGCGCTGAAAGGGAATTTTGCAAGCGTGTCTCTGCTCTTGAACTTCTTCCAGGGTTTGCAGCACTTAATGGCAGGAGACGATGTTGCAGCGGGAGAGCAGAGCGTTAGCAAATGGCTTTTGTCACAGTTTCCATCGCAGGGAGCTGCGGAGCCGCGTGCCAACGTGGGTCCGCACAAGCAACCAGGGATGCAGGGTTATTCCACCAAATCCCTTCAGTGCATGAAAATACCTCCTCCTTGAAAAAGCAGTCATTTCAGTGCCAAAAATCTATAAATTCTTCACAAAGTTAAACTTTTTTTTATGCCCCTCTGGAGGAAATCCTGCTGATCGTCTCTGCTCCAGCTTTCCCTGAAACTTGGGGTCTCAATTCCTGCCACATTCATCGAGCTGGTGGGAGCTTGGGGTTAGAAGGTGCCCCTGCTCTGTTGCAAAAAAACCCAAAATCTCCCTCTCTCCTTCCGTGGAGGCAGCATGAGCCCCATTGGATGCCCAGAACCAAGCAAGATGCAATGTGGGCTTGGGAGGACCCTGAAGCTTTCCCCATCCGCAGCACGGATGCGGGAACCAGCGACCACTGATGAATTTACCTGGTGCAAACGAGAGGCGAGCAGGGGCTCTGCTGCTAGCCCACAGCTCCAAAGGCGTTTTAGCAGCAAGCCAGCATCTGACGGCGAGCAATTTATCAGGAGTGAGTGGATACTGCTTATGACAGAGGGAGTCTTAATATTGCATTACTTCATTTATTTAGCACCTCTCCTCTAATGCTTTGAGTGTTGTGGGTCGCTGGGGGTTGGTTGTTATTTTTCTTCCCTGCTAAAAGCAAACATCTCCAGCTGGTTCTTGGCTCAGGGAAGAAATATTGGCTTTACAAAAAGAAGGGATGTCAAATCATTAAAAGCTGCAGGAAGAGGAAGTCTTGTGAGATGGGGGTGGAAATGGGGCCAGAGAGCTGGAGCCAGAAGGCAGATGTAGAAAGCGCAGGAAGATTGGAGGCAGTTGCACAGTGAATGTGCAGGCAGAAGGTAATTAGTGACTAAGTGCTTGATAATTTACTGTCACCAGCCTCTCATGCCGGACACACACTTCGTCCCTTCTTTGCTGGGCTCTGATCTTTGCAGCGGTTGCTTCTTGCTCCTGGCTCTGGAGCAGCTCCTGGCACAGCAGCTCCCGGGCCAACGGAGCCAAAGGGACCCTCTGCTCTGCCCGGAAAGCGGCTCAGCCCTCAGCTACTGGGGCCGTGCGCCGCTGTCAGCCGGAGCTGGCCTGCAGCCTGCACCTCGGAGCAGGCAGCCGGAGCCCCGGGCTCTCCATCCCACCCAGCGCCCAGCTGGCACCTTTGGCAGCACGGAGCACCTCCTGGGGCACTAACCCGCCGTAAAGCTGTCAGCCTCGGCTGCAAGCGCAGAAATGTGTCTTTGCAATGGAGTGCTGGTTCCCTCTTCCCCGTGGTGCAATCGGGGGCTCTTTGGAAGCCGCTGGGAGCCGCAGGAGCCAGGTCGTGCCAGCAAACCCAGCGTGGGAGCGGTGCCGGCTGTGCTCACAGGCAGGGATCGTGCCACCTCCCAGCCCTCCGCTTTGCCTTCCAGGAGCCAGGCGTGATCATCACCGGCGTCACCATTCCCACGTCAGGGCCGCAGGGTGACTCCTCTCCCTGCGAAAGAAAATATCGGGAGAGGCAGGTTGTGAAACATCAACCCTGTCAGGTTTTGGCTCGGAAATCCCAGCCGACTCCTGTGATTTATCACTCACCCAGCTGCTACTTGCAGCTTGGAAAAGATGGGGGGGTGGGGGGGAAATACAGATTTTAAAAGCTTGGCCTTAAAGCTCACAGCCTCAGGCCAAGACTCCTGTCCTGGCTAAGGGATCAGGGTAGGAAGGACAGTTCCACGGCTGAACTAAACCAGCCATCCCAGTCAGGCTGTGGTATGGGAGGATAATTCTGCTGCCATCTCCTCCCTGATTCATGTCTTTTCAACCACGAGGTGAGAAAACCAGGATTTAGATACCAAAGGCTCTGCCGCCTTCCTTGTCTTTCACTTTATTCCCCAGGCACTTTGCCCCAAACTTTTGCC